AGGGTACCTGTTATTCCTCACCATAATAGTATACCTAGTGCCTGACATGTGTGAGATACTCAATACCAAATAGAAAAGAAAACAAATACCTGTATGTAGTTATGGATAAAAGGTAGGGCTAGCAGTATTGGCAGCATATAAAAAGTTGTAAAGACAGGAGCGAATGAGATAGCCAAGGAAAAGTGTGGAAAAAGTAGAGGGTCAGGGGGGAATTTAAAAAATGGGCATAAGGAACCTAAAAGACAGATGATAACAGATAGAAATAGAAAATGGAACCCCAAAAAAAGTGTTTCATTAGGATGTGGTCAGCTGATAGAAGTAAGATGAGAACTCAAAACAATTCTTGGGTTTTGAAACTTGGTGTGTTCATTCATTCATTCACTTATTTATTCCTTCCTTCCCAAAGTAGATGCTCAGAAAACATAAACAAAATACCCAGGGATGCATAGATGAGATTTGAATTCAGTTTTTAGAAGAGAAGGTTCATTGAGGGTTGGTGGGAGGCAGAGGAACCAGAATTTTGAGAGGGACTGCTCATTGAGTGGCATGTCCCATTGAAGTGGTAGAGGTGAAGGCAAGTAATGCTACTCCTTCAGGAAGACTTTCAAGAAAACCAGGAAAATAAAGATGAACCAGAGCCCTGGACTAGTGCTGAGAACTGGCACACTTTATTTGTCTCAAGCATGTCAAGTTCAATTATAAGTATCACTCACATCTCTTTTATTAAGTTAGGTCGGTCACTTATTGGGAGGTAATTTTACCTCTACTACTTGCACATTAGTAAATCCATATTACTGCAAGTTCACTGTTGATGTTACTGCTCTGAATTGTGTTAGTTACTGGAAACAATACATAGATTTATTTGATAGTACTCCATCCAAAAAAAAAAGTTTGCTTTTTAAAAAGTAAATACTGATTATCCAGGAGCCATCTGTTTTTGAAAAACTGTCAAAAGAGCCTTTATCATGGCCAGTTCTTTTCCACTTCACTCTCCATTATCTGGGTCTTAGTGCATGAGAGGAAAATTGAGACTGAAAATGAATCTTCACTTGGCAAGATTGAGATGCATTATTTGCCATGATCTTTGCAGAAGTGCATGGTTGAGCATAAAATTGTCATGGCGCAGAGCAGTGAATTTGCGCATAAAGCCTGTAAGGAGTTTTGATCTCATGAGACTAATTTTCAATGAGAAAATCTCTCAGGATGTTTTTATGTGTCATTAAGGATGAAGGTAATGAAAGGATAGAAGAAATGAAAAATACAATCGAACCTTTAGGTTTGATGCAGCAGGCTGTATTATTAAACAAAATGACCTGTCATTTTAAGTGACTTCTTAAAAGAAATAGAGAGAAGGAAAACATCCCTGAACTTGCATTTGCCAGCCTGGCCCTGTTGGTAACTGGACCTGTTAGAAGAGCCTAGACTCATCTGTTGTATAAAAGAAGGAAACTCGGAGTAGGTACCAAATATCAGAGTGTTTGTATGTATATTATCTTATTTAAAATGGGATAAAAATCTTAATATTCTGTCTGCCTTACAGAGTTGTTAGGATGATAAAATGAGATAATGTGTAAGTTTTAGTAATCTGAATAAAGTATTATACAAAGATAGGACATTGTTATTCATTCAAAGTATTCCTTGACATTTACATAAACAAATTAGAATGTGAAATTAGGAAAGCTGTATGTTTTTGCCCTAATACTGTTTCCTACATTGAATTACTGAAATCAGTTGATAATTGTTAATTCTTTTAAAATTGTTAGTTTCTGAAAAGCTATAATTAGTGGCTGCTTATAATATTCTGTGTGTTGTTAAATAAGATATATATATATGTATACTTTGCCTATATAGAACATTTATCTATATATTCCTTAGTAATTTTTGTAGTAGCTCTTTGGGGTAGATAGTACACTGTTAAAACATATGGAAACTGAGACTTTGTGACCAAGGTCACACTAGTATTAAGTAGTAGAACCAGTGTTATAACTTGGGTTTTTCCTAATTCTTAATTGTGTGCTTTACCACCACAGATATGACTTCTGCTTTTATTGTCAGTCAGTGAAAGATGGTTACTGTTACTTTTTCATTGGGTGGCTCTTGCTGTTTTCCATCTTTATTTACCATTTACCCAATGTCTTCAGCAAATATTTGAGTGCCTACTCTGTACCAGGCATTGTTCCAGGTGTTGGGATTATAGCAGTTAATGAAACAAAAATCTCTGCCCTTCTGGAACCTAGGTGCTATCTTTACAAGATACTTAAATGATTAAAATGTAAATACTTTAAAAGCAGATTAAAATGTGTTAAATAGTGATAGGCGTTATGGAGAAAGGTAGGAAGAGGAATGGCAGTGCGGGGTGTTGGTGGGAGGAAGTTAGTACTGTATTGTCCATGAGAATTAGAGTTACAATCTGAAGGATGAAGAATTAGAGTAGGGGGCTTCTTATGGTAACTGATGTAAATAAGGATTTAAAAAATTGGTCATTGTGGTCTCAAGACAGATGATGTGAATACTCTAGAATTTTGCTGGTACACCAAGTTCTGGGGCACCTCCTGATTGAAGAGGCCAGGGAGAAGGTGGTCTTATCTAGAGCCCTTGGAACTCATGGTCTCTCTCTTCACTTCTGCCATGGAGGCCAAAGAAGGGGCATCTCTCTGTATAACTTGTCCTATACTAAGTGTTTTGATAAGCCTCATTCCCACTGAGTAATTCAGTTAATTTCAAGTGAAGTATCTTTTAAAAATGTATTTTCCTGTCACCTTAAAGAAAATAGATTGAACTTCGAGCCTGCCAGATCTTCTCAGCTCTATAGTGTAAATGAGAAAGTTTGTTATTTCTAAGTCTAGGGTATTTTAGAAAGTTGTCAGTGTCTCTGAGATGATAGCTTTAGAGGATTTTCCAAGACCTACTGCTACCCTGATGTTAGTCACATTTTAAAAGAGGGGAAAAGACTTGTTAAGCATGAAAACCTTACCTAACATACAAGTTCTAAAAAAGATAGACTCCTTTACCCAGTACTGAATGTTTTAGGACAAGGCCAGAATGTTTTGGGACAAGGCATTGGAAAGGCATTATAATCTAATGGGAGAGCATAGCCTCTGGAATCAAATAACTGGGTTCAGTTTTTAGCTTTGCCTCCAACCAGTTATATTACAGCTGTTACTTTGAACAAGTTACACCATCTTCTAAGCCTTAATTTCCTCATCTGTGTAATAGATATGTGAAGATTAAATTATAAGGCACTCATCATCAAATTGTAATACAGTACAGTAGGTACTATAAAAAGTGTAAAATGCTGTGGGAACAGAAATAAAGCAAGCAGTACATTTGGTTCTGTGAGACTGAACAGGCCAGGCCACTCGACAAAGGAAGATCAGATCATGAATGATGAGCTGGAATACAGAAGCAAGGAAACCAGTTTACAAAGATTATCTATCCTAAGAGGGCAAATACCTGGAAGTATTAAAATATGTATCCTCAGCAAAGACATTACATCCTCTAATTAATAAATTTATTTCATTGAAATATAATTGGCATACAGTATCCTGTTTCAGGTGAATATATTTAACTCTCCATGTCTTAGTCCCTTTCCCAACATGTTCCCATAGTGTTCTCTACCTTAAATCGGTACCTTTTAATGTGTTCAATTTGCCTGTTCTCTACACACAAGAACTAGTTTCTCTTGTTTACCATATTCTGTTCTTAATACACTAGGTATCCTGTAACTGTTTATTGAATGGATGAAGCAAAACCACATTAAAAAAATGTTTTCCAAAGTGTATTTTGAAGCATTTTTGAAAGTCACACTATGTATTTAGATTTAGTCCTATGAACTGTAGAGCTGTGCTATCCTTGAGCAAGAGAATGTTTAAAATGAAAAGCAGCAAAGAGTCCAGGTTTGGAGCCTTAGTTGTGTCTTCTTAAATGACCTAACTTCCCTTGAGGTTGCCATTTCTTTATGTGTTTAATAGTATTGATGATTTGTATTTAGGGATTATGTAATAACTGCTGTCAGGTATTTATTTAGATGGGGCCTTTGAGAGAAAATAGTGCTTGGCACATGGTGTATACTCAATAAATATATGTTCAATTAAAAATCCTAAGCATAAATCAGGACTTCTTAATTGGAGGGGTTAAACTCTCAGAACATTTACCTCTTTAAGGTACAAGATGAGCTGAAACTACTTTTGTTTCTTGGTTAAAGCTCTCTTGAATATAATGCTGTGTTGTGTTGTTCTGTTGCAGTTTTGGCAACCAAAGGGAAATGCCACAAAGTATGCAGGTTTTTAAATGGTAGATGAGTTAAAGTTTTATTCCAGTAGTTAATAAGTAAATGAATGGCTTTTCATAAAATCACACATTTCTATACTTGTTGGGAATTTTTGGCATGAAACTCTTTTATTTGTAATGTTCATATGGAGTTGCCTTCTAAGAAACCTTGGGATAGGATGATGTTTTTAATGTACTTCTGATTTTTTGCTGTGTAAGGTATTTCCCAACTTTAGAATTTATGCTTGTCCTCCTTTGAATTTATTTCTTTTGAGTGTTAATGTGAAATTTTGTTGCATCATATGAGTTTTTAGTATTTTTAATTTAAGTATAAATAATGTTAGGAGAACCTTATTGTCCTAAGTACTTTCAACTTCATATGGGTGCATCTTTATAAATTAAAGGATAAAACATAGTAGTACTTCATGATTTTGAGAGGCCAAGAATAGAGTTGCAACCTGTGCCAAAGAAATCACTGTTGGCAGGCAGTTATTCTCAAGGGAATGTGATTTCTTTCATTTTTTGAAATCTGAAATATCTTGGTCCTAAATAGCATCAAATTCCCTCATTATCTGGAACAATAAGCTTAAATGGTAAGTACTAAAAGTCTTTAGAAAATATTTTGGGAGTTTTTTTTTAAATTTTTCCATCTGTATTTTGTAAGATTTAGAGCATAATTGAATATCTGGTGGACATTCTATATGAGTATCTTTATGGTTTTTGTTTTTCAGGCATTTTAAAAATATTTAATCATTCATGAGTTGAGCTTCATTCTTGAGTCATGGATGACAAGGCTTCTGTTGGAAAAATCAGTGTCTCCTCAGACTCAGTATCTACTCTTAATAGTGAAGATTTTGTCTTGGTTTCCAGGCAAGGAGATGAGACACCATCTACAAATAATGGAAGTGATGACGAGAAAACAGGACTCAAGGTAAAGCTCCATAACCTAAGTTTCTTTTGCTTAGCCTGGCTAAGCCCACTGCAAAACTTCCTCAGTAGGAAAGCATATGGAGTAAAAATAAGAACATGGAAATAACATCCTTTCTTTTTTTAATTCTAAAGAATTTTATTTGTAATTAGTGATAGTGAACAAATTTATATTTAAGGATTTTCCATTTGGTTAGCTTCTAAATCTTCTAATACTCCTGTTAAAACTAGTGGTCATAATATAAACACCTGTCATTTTAGTATTGTTCGCACTTTACTATTAAATTAGAAGTGATTGTTTCTTTTGGGCCTGGTGTGTGCAGTGTAAAGGCAGTGGCTGGTTATAAATACTATCTATAAAACTAAGTTTTACGATTATTGATATAGAACTTTAAATACCTGGCTTTTGGCCACTTCTGTTTGTTTATATTTTCTCAGCCAGACAGACAACTGTTGCTTATTTTCCTGTACTCTGTTGTTATTCTCTTTACAATAGTCTGTTTATTTAACAAATACAACATTATCTGTTAGTGTCATTTAAAATGTACATAGCTTTTAAAAATATTTGATTCTTGTTTATATCATTTCATTCAACAAGTATTTATTGAGTATTAACTGTGTGCCAAGTACTGTTCTAAATATTGGGGATATAGTGGTGAATAAGACAGGCAAAGCCTACTACCCTCATAGAGCTTTTATTGTAATGGGAGAAACATACCCTAAGAAAATAGGAAAGTAAAAACGGTTAAGTAAATTTAGGTACTGTGAAGAAAACCAAAGCAGGATAAATGGCTACAGAGTGTAGGGCAGATACTATTTTAGAGAGTGTTTTAAAATGACATTTGAGCAGAGACCAGAATGAAATGAAGTGAGGAAAAATGTCATGTATTAATCTGGGGAAAGAGCTTTCCATAGGGAACAAAAAAATAAACCCTGAGGAGAACCACCCTTATTCGGACAGAATGATTAAAGTAAATAAAAAGTCATAAAGGATGAGATCCAATGTTGGGTAAGGGCAGATCGTGTAGAACTTTTCGAAAACTTAGTAGGAATTTGGACTTTGTGTAAATGTAAAGGGAGCTTTTGGAGAGTTTTGAGTGGGGACATTATTTGATTTACATTTTAAAAAACTCACTGGCTAAGAGAGACTTTCAGCCTGACAGTATGAGGAGGTCTGTGGACTCCAAAGCAAAACTGGTAACATATTTAAAAAACTCAAAACAACCATTTAAAGTCTCTGGAAATTTTCTGAATGACATAGAGCATTTGAAGAGCAATTATTCAAGAAAATTTACTAAGAGAATCTGATACTGAACCAAAACCTGTTTCTATAACTCAACTCCATATCAGTGTAGTCAAGAAATGACACATTCTCTCCCCAGCTCCCAGTTGGAGGGCTGTCTTCCAGGAAGGAGCTGGAGGGTTTCTCATCCTGCCTATAGGCAACCTTTTGCAGACTATGTGTGACTTAGTGGTAGGGGCTCCCTCTTTTTGCCTAGCCTTTATTCCTAGGGTGGAGGCTCTACTTTGGGCACAGTGCTGAAGATAATACAGAGAGCCCACAAGCTAGTGGTTCCACACGAGTAGAGACAAGCCAAGAACATCTGAGGCTATTATACCACCTCCCACAGCCAAGAAGTACTCAGCTTCTGAAGATGCAGTCTCAGAGAAGCATGCCATTGTCCACACTCTCAACTTCATAGCTGTGACTCAACAATTTTGCCAGCAGTGAGAAGATTGGAATGGAAATAGATTAAATAAAAAATAGGAAAACAAAGTCAATAAAACCCAAAGCTGGTTCTTTGAAAAGATAACAAAATTGACAAAACTAGGTTGATCAAGAAAAAAAGGCACACACACAAATTACTAGAATCTGAAATGAAAGAGGGGACATTATTATAGAAGGTAACTAAATAAAAATAATTATAAAGGAATATTATAAGCAGTAATATGCCAATAAATTAAAGAACTTAGATGAAATGAATAAGTTTCTAGAAAACACTAATGAAACTGATAAATAGTATGAATAGACAAATAACAAGAGATTGAATTAGTAATAAAAAAAGAGAACCCAGTCCTAATGTCTTAACTGCTGAATTCTACCAGATATTTAAATAAGAGTATTGTTCTTCACAAAGTCTCCATGAGGATGGTATTACCCTGATACCAAAAGTAGAGCACATCAAAACTATACAGAAATACCTCTTTTAAATACAGACACAAAAATACTCAACAAAATACTAGTGGACGTAATTCAGCAACATATAAAAAGTATTACACAACATAACCAAGTGGGATTTATATCAGGAAAGTAAGTGTGGTTTAACATTTGAAAATCTGTTAATGTCAACATACCATATCAATGGAATTAAAAAACATTTCAGAATAAATGGTAGAACTTCCTCAACCTGATAAACAGCATCTATGAAAAACTCACAGCTAAAATCATTCTTGCTGGTGAAAAACTAGATTCTTTCCCCCTAAGTTCAGGCTCAAGACATGAATGTCTGCACTTACTGCCTCTGTTCAACATTACATTTGAGGTCAATCCCAATCAGTTAGGCATGCCAAAAAGAAGTCACCCAGATTGGAAAGAAGCAAGTAAAAACTATCTCTGCAGTTGCTATGATCTTGTTTTTGGAAAACCCTAAGAAATCCACACACAGGAAATAATTAAAGTAAATAAAAGTTCAGCAAGATTGTAGGATGCAAGATCAGTATACAAAAAGATCAGTTTTACTTCTATACGCTTGCTATGGATAATCTTAAAATGACCATAAAAATTCTGTTTATGTTAGCATCAGCATCACAGGAATAAAATATTTAGTGTTAAGTTTTTAAAAATCTTACGCTCTGAAATCTGCAAAACATTGTTGAAAGAAATTCTAAGTAAGTGGAAATTCATCCAGTGTTCATGCATCAGAAAATTTATCATTAAGATGGTATTACTTCTCACATGGTCTACACATTCAGTGCAGTCCTCATCAGAATCCCAGAGAATATGTTTGTAGATAACACAGTAACATGCCAATTCTGAAGAGCAAAAATAATCTTGGAAATGAAGAGTGAAGTTGGAAGACTCACTCTTCAATTTTAAAACTTAATATAAAGCAATGGTAATAAAGACAGTGTTGTACTAACATAAAGACAGGTATATAAATCACTGGAATACATTTGAGAGTTGAAAATAGAACCATGTTTCTGTAATCTGCTAATTTAAAAAATGGTACTAATACCATTAAATTAGGAGTGGATTTTTTCCCCACAAATTGTGCTGGGACAATTTGATAGCCACATTCAAAAGAATTAAATTGTACCTTTACCTCACAACAAATACAAAAATTAGCTCAGAATGAATCAGGGACCTTAATTTAAGAGGGAAAAGTATACAACTGAGAGGAAACACAGGGGTACATTTTTATGACTTCAGATTTGGCAGTAGATTCTTAGGTATCATACCAAAAGCACAAGCAAAAAGGAAAAAAAAAAATTGGACTGCACCAACATTAAAATCTTTCCTGCTTCAAAGGATACTACTATTAAGTGAAAAGACAAAACCACAGAATGTATCTAGGGTGTATGAAGTGATGAACAACCCAAATGTTGTTCAACTACTAAAATGGATACATAAAATGTGATACATGGTGGAATGTTATTTGGTCATAAAAAGGAATGAAATATTGAACATGCTACAACAAAGATGAATTTTGAAGACATTGTTAAGTGACAAGTCATAAAAGGCCACAAATTATATGACTGTTAATATCAAATATCTGAAGTAATGAAATCTTTAGAGGCAGAAGATAGTTGTCACTTAGGGCTGGCGGTATTGGGGGAAGAGGGGTTAATACCTAATGGTGTCTCTTTGAGGTGATGAAAAATTACAAAATTTGGTGATGTTTGTGCATACCTGAATATACACAAAACAATAGAATGCACTTTAAATGGGTGAATTGTATGTGAATTACATCTGTCTCCTTTATGGAGTTATTGGCAGTAAAGGGATATGATCAGTAGTAAGAAAAGCATGTATCTATCTTAAGTCATGAAAGGGAAAGAGAATGTTGGCTTGGAGTAGAGGGTGAAGGTGCTCTGATTCAGGATACATTTTCAGGGTAGAGTTGATTGGTATTAGAGGGGGCAAATTAGATGTGGTATTTAAGGCAAAGAGAAGTGAGTTATGATTCCTGGATTTTGGTCTGAGCTGTTGGGTATATGGCAGTGCCACTTACCGAGATGGAAAGGAGATAGGATGACTAGGATTGCAGCAGGGGAATCAAGAGGTCCTGTTTAGGACATTCAATTTGAGATGACTATTACATGTCTATTTCTAGATGCCAGGTAATTGGATGTGTGAGATTTGATGCTCAGGAGAGGTTGTGTCTAGTATCAAAAGTACATAGCAGTATTCAAAGCTATGGGATTGGATGAGCTCACCATAGAAGAGTGAGTATGGATTCTGAAGAGGTGAGTGATGAGTTGGTTCTTGGAGTACTTCAGGAGATTGAGGTGAAGAGAAACCAGCAGAGAAGACTAAGAAGAAATGCCAGAGAAGACTAAGAAGAAATGCCATAAGGCAAATTAGGAGATTGGATCCACCTTGGAAGAATAAGGAAGAAAATGTTCCTAGAAAGCAGGAGTAACCAGCTCTGCTCTATTCTGCTGAGAAGTTGCTTTAGATAGTGACAGAAAGATGAAAAAATAGTGGCCTTGGTGATCCTTAAAAAGGATGCTTTTTCATGTTTGCTTATTTTTGTTTTCAGAGAGAGAGAGATACAAGCATTAGCAGGATTAGTGTGGGTTGGGTAGTAAATGGGAGATGGAGGAGTAAGTGGCAGTAAGTATAGACAACTGTTTTGAGGATTTTTGCAAAAAAAACAAAACAAAAACGGAGTGGTAACTGAAGAGTGATATGGATTCCATTGAGGGATTTTATGATATTTATGTACTGATCAGAATTCTTTATTAAAGAGGGGGATGATAATAGTACAGAAGAGGACAAAG